TGAATGGGATTTGAAAACCAATTTTTCTTGCAATTAAACCTTTTAAAATATCAATTAAGTTATTAAACATCCAATTTTAAATTTCTCTTTCTAAATTAAACTTTTCTTGTTAATAAAACCTTTATTGATAAAAATTAAGCTATCAATTTTTCAACTTTTGGTGTTTTGATTCTCCTCAACTAATCTTTGACAATTATTGTGGATATTCTTCATGTTTTTTTCATTAATATATTTTTAATTTTTTATTTATTTGTATATTTATGCGAGGTTCCAACTTGGGGTAACAATAACCTTTTATGTCCAAATTGTTGGTATTAAAGAATATAATAAATCATATCTTGGAATCTCACATAGTAGTTTAAGCTATTAGATTGAAATAGTTCTTTAACATGATATTAGAATATTGATAATCAAGTGATCACGAGTTTGAATTTCATCATTTCTATTTATTTGATAAAAATTAAGAATAAAATAATATGAGGCTATACAGATTTCAAACTTAAAAAACTTTCATTTGAGGGAGTATGTGAGAGAACAATAAAAATTATATTTTAGGATCTCATTTAATAACATAAACTATTGAGTTGAGATAATTTTTTAACAGTTGGTATGATATAATCAAGCTTTCATGAGGCTTAATTTTATTTTACTGATCTATAAATATATTTGCTAGGCTTTTGTGTGATTTGTTAGTAACATATCTCTATGACAAATTTCCATCTAACTACCAAGAACCTTGATTTTTTCTCAATCTAGCCACATTGGTTGGAATTTATATTAATCTAAATTAATTTAGTGTATTTAGAAGGATTAAAGTAGGGAAATACTCATTATTATTTGAATATTTGAAGAAAACATAAAAAAAAATTATATATATATATATTCATTTTTTTTGTTTTGGTTTTTTATAACAATATAGATTCAAAGAAACATAAGACATGTAAACACAATCATAACATAAATACTAATATGTTTTAATTGTTTAATTTAGTTTGTTAATAAATTCCAAGTTTGACAAGTTAACCTGAAATTTTATTTTTTTTACTTTTTTACTTTTTAATTAATTTTTTTCATTTAGTTTAGTTTGTTAATGTTAAATTTCTTTCTATTTAATTATCGAACTTTCATGACACGTTTCTCAAGCTTGACAGGTTAACTGGGTTAATTATGGGTTAACCCGTCAAATTGGTTTTCTATTTAGTTATCAAACTTTCATGATGCGAATCTAAGGTTTAACGAGTTAACTTGATTTGAAGGATTGACCCAATTAATTTAAATTCAAATTAGGTTAACCTGTCAAACTCGGGATTCATTAACAAACTAAATTAAACAAAAAAATTTATTAAGAGAAAAAAAACAAAGAAAAAAGCAAAAAAACCCCATAAAGGCATAAAAAACAAAAAAATATAAACAAAGAATATTATAATATAATAATATAATTATCATTATAATAATAATAATAATTATTATTATTATTATTACTAGACTCATTTAAACTTAAATCATATAAGTTTAATATTATTATAAATATTACTTTTGAGTCAAGCGTTGAAGCTAAACCAAAGGTTTTTGGATATATTTTTATAGAAATACATAACACTCTTGAATCTTTGTGTTTTTTAATATTTTTTATGCAAGAAAAAAAAATAATTCATGGTGTATGCCTTTGTTTTGTTTTCTTTTTCCTTTTAACCCTTTTACTGTGGATTATACAATACAATTCATAATGAAAAAGCTGATACCTTTAGTTTCTATTTTAGTCTTTTTTTCTTTGTATTGTAATTATTCTATTAATTAAGTTTTTTAATATTAATTTTTTTCTGTTTAATTATTAGATTTTCATGACACAGATTGCAGGTTTGACCGGTTAACTCGATTGATTCATATTGTTTTTCTTTTTTCTCATTACTTTTGTTCTTCTGATTTCATCTTTTAATATTATATGCAGTTCACAGTGAAAAGAATGGTGCCTTCAGTTTTTTTTCTTTTTTTTATGTTTTTCACAGTGGATTGCACAATACAATCCACGCTGAAAAGGTTGATGCATTTTCTTCTTTTTAATTAACTTTTTTATTTAGTTTGTTGATAGTCAATTTTTTTCTATTTAATTATCGGACTTTTATAACACAAATCTTAAATTTGACGAGTTAACCCAGTTAATTAAGATTTTTTCCCTTTTCTTCGTTAGTTTTTTTCTTCATATCGGTTTTTTTTCTTTGTTTTATTCTTTTAATTAATTTATTTAAGTATAATACTTTTATGACACAACTTTGCAGCCAAATCCATATCCAAGATTATTAGGTTTGGTATTGCAGTTAGATCCACTTAAACTTGAGTTTTTCAAGTTTAATGTTATTATAAATATTACTTTTAAGTCTATCGTTGCAGTTAAACCTAAGACTTTTAAATATAATTTTATAAAAAAACTTAATATTTTTAAATTTTAACTTTTTAAAATATTTTTTTTATATAAAAATTAACTTGTAGTATTTTATTTCTATTTTTTTGTTGAGTTCAAAGCAAATTATTATACTAAAGTATAACACTCTCAATCACGCATTAAATATTTTCCAGAGCGATTGCCAGTCTCAAAAACCTTACGGGAGGCTGTGCTAGCTGCCAAAAAAGACACGCATCACGGTCAAAATGTGAAGAACCACACGCCAACACTCACAGGCTGTCTAGACTCTTTCATTTTAGCCTTTCATCGATCGTTCGCATGTTGCAAGATTCGAGACATTCAGTGCCGATGGCAATAAATTGTATTTAATTTATAGGTTGTAGGTAAATTCCTTTTCTAGTGAGAACCGGTGGATATATTAGTGTAGTGTATTTAATTTTCTTAAACTATTGATCAAACTATCATCAATCTTTAAACAAAGATTTCATGGCATTGATATTTGAAAAGTTATTTGATTTGATTTAATTATTTGATTTGTTTAGTTAATTTTGAATTAATTAAGTTCCATTGAACCTCTCAGATTCATTGATTATGCAAATTCAATGAATTGTCTTCAATTAGTTCTACATAATTTTGAATTAATTACGTATTCCTAATATTATGTATAAATAAAGTGCCTTCATTCTCACAGGTAGAAACCAGAAAAATCAATATAAAGTTCCTACTCTCTTTATGTTAGATATATACATTCTATGAAATATGTTTTTTTTTTATATCAGGTATCCTTGTATATTTTTAAAAAATAAAATTAGTCCCGTTCAGGATCCGTAATTATCTTTTTTAATAAATGCGTTTACTCTTTTTATGTATTCCTAACCTTATGTATACTTATCTTTGATTTTATATTTTTTGTTATATTTTTATATTGATGAATGGAAAGAAAAGAGCACGGATAGCTTACGAGGAAGTGCCCCTTCTAAGATTTCGGCCACCCTATAAATACACAATTGATTTTGAATAAGCAATTTCTTTTGGTAAACGATTACATTTAATTGGATTATATATAATTATTGAACTTCATGATAAAATCTGATGAAATTTAAAAGACAAGTGACAATTCAAATCACCTTGCTTTTCATTTCTTCCAACTTCTCGAAGAAGAAAAAAATGGAGATGGAGATGGAGATGGAGATGGATAATAGTTTTCTAGCTCTGTTTTTCTAATTTCATAACATGTTATATGCATAAGCCTCGAAGACTAAAACCCAATAACATAACTATTCATAGTCCATGCAAAGTTGCAAGCCATTGCACAGGGCTCATTGTCCAGGAAACTCTAAAAGCAAGCAAAGAAGCCTACAAAAATAAGACAACCTCGTTCTCGGTGAGGTCTCCTCACATGTGCAGCCTCTCTACTGGTTATCTTGCTAGCGTTTAGCAGTTGCTTTCATGGAATGATCTTCAAGCAGACGTAAGTAGTATTTCATTTCCTAGTTCTTATTCAAACTTCAGCTCCCAGTGTTTAGGTTTCTCTGCAAAAGCTTAGGGTTAGGATGCTCCATTAGACCTAGTTCATCAAGAATTACACTATTTTTCTTGAAAACCCTTCAATATTATCATGCCTCAGAAACATTTGATCTGTGAATTCAGATGATGAAAATGAACACTCCTTTACAGTATCATACCTTATGAACATTTGTGGGTTCTCTCTAAAACCTGCTTTAGAAGTTTCTAAACAGGTTCATTTTAAAACCCCAGATAATGCTGATTCTGTTCTTGAGATTTCAAGAACCATGGCTTCTCAAAGGCCCATATTTTGAACCTTGTGAGGAGATGGCCTAGAGTGCTTTTGTGTAAACCTCACAGAACACTCTTTCCCAAGCTTGAATTTTTCCATTCTAAAGGGTTTTCAAGCCCTGATGTTGTCGAAATTATATCAACCTATCCGTGGATTTTGAGAATTAGCTTTGAAAACAAGTTGGTCCCTGCTTTTGATTTCTTTGAAAATTTGCTCCAATCTGATGCCATGGCTACCAAAGCAGTCAAACTTGACCCGCGCCTTCTAGATGCTGGTCTTGAAAAGGCCGCACGTATTGTTTATATTTTGTTAGAAAATGGAGTCCCTATGAAGAATATTGCTCTATCAGTTCGGATGAAGCCTGGTATTATGCTTTCGAATCTGGAGAATTTCAAAAGGCTTGTTCAGAAAGCAAGTCTAATGGGATTTCATCCTTCCAAGAGTCAATTTGTTGTAGCAATTGTGTTGCTGAGGTCCATGACCACATCCACATGGGATAAAAAGCTTGATGTGTATAGGAGATGGGGTTTGTCTCAAGAAGAAATTCTTGCAGCATTTGTAAAGAATCCTTGGTTTATGAGCTTATCTGAAGAGAAGATCACGGCAGTGATGGTTCTTTTTGTCAACCAATTGGGTTGGGAGTCTTCCTATCTTGCCAAAAACCCAACTATACCATCATATAGCCTGGACAAAAGGCTTGTTCCAAGGGCTTTGTTATTGCAATTTCTAGTTTCTAAAGGCTTGGTTGAGAAGAGTTTCAGAAGCACTGCATTCTTCTACACACCTGAAAGTAAGTTCCGGCAGATGTTCATAAATCACCATTCTGAATCTACCCAGATATTGAAATTTTACAACGAAAAACTGAATCTTTCATTAGTTGTAAACACTTCTACATTTTGAATCACAATTGCTCTACATTTTCATTTGTTTTTTTATTGTCTTCTCTGCCTTAGAATTTCCATAAGTTAGGCATTGTGCATTGGAATTACCTGTTCTTTTTGCAATTTAGTTTCTCTATTCTCTGATTTTTCTCCATTAAACCTTGAACCTTGTGCTTCGTGATGTTTTTACAGCCATCTGGCATAACAGGAGCTGCACTTTCCTTACCTTCCATGATATATACAACTTACACTGTCTTGTTATTACTTGTGAATGATGTTCTTTCACTATGAGAAATGATCTAATCCAAGTTAGGTTTTACTTGGTAATTGCATTCATGAAACAGAGAGGTTCAGACTTCATTCTGCGTTGAGACTGCCTAGAAATGCATCTTGATCCTGCTTTGCATATTAGATCTTTTCCCTTCTACAGTTAGTTTATAACTAATCAAAGTATTCATTCAAAACACAAAAGTTTCCCTAGTATGGATTGTTGCAGGGTTTGGAATGTTTAAATGACTCGAGATTCTTCCTATCTTAAAACAAAGAGGAACATTTACGGTATGAAAGACAGATTTGAGCACTACAAATCCTGATGCAAGGAAGGTGTCGAGACATAGTAAGTTCAAGGATTTAATATCAAGATATATATATATAGTTTCATTTGCTGTTGAAGGTATGGTCATATGCTGCTAGCATAATCCCTAGAAACAATCCATTTCTTGAAGTATAATTAGGGATTGCAAGATCTTCCAAGCTTGCTTGATCTTGACCTGAAGCACCTTGGGAGGAACCTTGGGACCATAATAAGATATGACCTGTTTGAAGGTGTGATAAATGTTGTTTTTTAAAGTATTTTTTTTAGAAATGCATTAAAAGAATTTATTTTATTTTTTTAAAATTTAATTTTAATATCAACCCAATAAAAAAAATAAAAAAATATATAAAAAATCGTTTAAACTAAAAAAATCTTAATAGTAAGGTTGGACTATAATATCAAGTTTTTCAGGGTCGTGCAGCAGATTTGAATGGATACCCACATGGATCAATGAGGTAAAAGACTGAAGGAGTAATCTTGCGGGTTTGCAGCATTGCTACTTCCACTTGACAAGAATTGGTGCTGGGCATGGACTAAAATATGTAAAATTAGAAGTTTCCTTGTTGTCATGAGCAAGAATGAGACCGTTTAGGATATTTTCCAAAAAAAATAAAAAAAAATGCTTGATATATGTCTTCTCAAAATGGAAGATGAAGATGGCCTCCCATTTAAATTTGATTTATATGCCTTCTCAAAATAGTGTCTGATATAGGAAAACAGCTTCCTTCCCTGTTGTGTTAAACAAATACAAATAGCCAACAAAACTGGCTGACACATCCAAAAGACGGTGTCAGCCATCAAGCAATCCATTTCCTTTGAAATAGAAACTCTGTTCTACAAGGATGCAGCAACTAGCAAGTCGTACCAGTGATTAAAAAGTTTGAAGCCTTTCCAGACTAGCAATAGCTACATTGGATTAGTAGAAGTTGGAGAATAAAATCTAGATTTTGCTTCTCCGTATTCTTACTCCGGTTGAGACATCGGGATATCACATTCCATCCATTTCTTTACGACTAAGCATTGCCCTCTTTCTATCAATTTCATGGGGTTTAAGGACATGCTTTCCCCCTTCGTTGTGCAGAGTAAGTAATCCTTTGTCTGTGCACCAAATATTACACAGCTTGCACCCATATCTCCGCTGTGCTATCTCACTGCCTCTGCCACCTTTGTTGGCAACTTTTGACTTCATCGTTCTGCTTTTGATCTTCTAAGTGGTCCTTGAATTTCAACTCCTGCAGTTTGATCCGGTGTTTTCCACCCCACATGTGCTTCCTGTAGTTGGAAAAACTCTGGAAAGGCACTTGGCAAACTTTGCAACAAGTGTAACCCATCTGATTTCCAGGTTCATGAGGTTGTGGAGATGATGGGAATTCAAGGCTGTTTGCTGGTGTTTCCCGCTTTATTCCAGAAAGCATGGGACTGGAACTTGAATTTCCCCTTTGATTGGGAGTTAAACTTGAAGATTGCACCTGATGTGAGTGATATTTTAGTTGCCATATTCAATCTAACCATATATGCGCAGCTTGCGGTAACCAAATTGGATAGGAACTTAGCAAACCTTGTAAAAAGTGTAGCCTTCTCGGATTGTCATGTTCATGCAGCTGCATAGGTGGTGAGAATCTGATGCTGTTAGCTGTTAATAGCCTTCTTGTTCCTGAAAGTATAGGACTTGGACTTGAACAAGACCTTGGGCTGGGATTTGCACCTGATATGAGTGACATTTAGTCTAGTAAGAGAATAGGACATTCCCCAGCTACTGTCCCACAAGGGTGGTCCGGGGAACAAAAACTTGGGGAAAGTTTTACTCTTCTGCGTTTTTGCGTAAGTTGGCTATTCTCAAGGCTCAAGCTGTTTCAGAAGTATAAAAAACATGAACATTTTCCAGGGAAACCCAGTTTAACGGTCTGTCTTTGGTTGAAAGCCACAGCAGATTGGCATGGCAATAACCCACAGTTAAAACTAGGAAAGGCCACCCCAAAAGAAATGAAATCCTCTCCACACCCAGCAGCCAAGCTCAACAGCACTGTTTTCATGTTGAGTTAATGTTCTGATATCTTCCAGAACCCTAATTTTACTGTCTCAAAACCAGTGCGACAATCAAAACTTTGCGTTGATTTGGGTTACCAAGACAGGTGATTCCAATAAATTTCAGAGGTATCAAACCCTAATGCTTCTTTCTTGCATAGAGCAACTGCAATTCTTCCCGATTCAAAACCCTCTGTATCTCAGAAATAAACCCAGTAAATGGATCCATACTTGTTCATCACTTCATGACCCATACACAACTAAAAATTTAAACCTTTCCCTTCCCGATTCCTCTAGCCAAATAGAACCCATTTTATTGATATACTATTAAAACAAGATTAGGGGTGGCAAAGTTCTTGCATTTGCATCAAACGGGCAGAAAAGAAAAAAAGTACAATAAATAACATTACCCCCTGAAAAAAAAAAAGCAAAATCTTTCTAAATCACGTGACACTATCAACTCCACTAAATTCAGAATCTCTCATGTTGTCCGTACTCTGACAAGTCCAGCTGTCCACCACTAACCTGACAGCCACACGTCCTTAAGACAGACCCCTCAACCTATCACGTGTCAAACACCAACAACATGACAGGGTAACAGCCCCGTCATTCTAAACAAACGTGATCCTCGTGCCTTATTTCTTAAAAACCCGTCCAGGTTCATTCCACAGTTATTCCTTAAAAGCCCGCCCCGGTTCGTTTTCACAGTGATCACTCGATCACCCCTACTCTCTCTGGTAACTTCTCTCTTTCTCTCTCATTATTTCTAAAATTAGGGTTTCGAAACCCCAAATTTTTCATGATGATTTTCTGTAGTTTGTTTATAGAGACGAAGCTGAACTTCTGATTTCAAGTATTACGGTATGGCTGAGGAGGCAGCGAAAGCAGTGGAGCCTAATGCGGAATTGCTAGAATGGCCGAAGAAGGACAAGCGTCGGTTACTTCATGCTGTGTATCGCGTCGGTGATCTTGAACGTACCATTAAGTGAGTGAGGTTTTGTTTTGGTATTTCTTTTTCGATTTTCTTAATGTTTTGTAATTTATGTGATTTTCTTCATATTTTGTTATTTATTTTTGTGAATTTATTTGTAATTAACTTTGCGGTTATTATGAAGTTTCGGTTTTTATTTTTATTTTTGGTTGTTTTGGAATTTATGTGATTTTTACTAAATTCGTAGTTTTTTTTTTTTTTGATGTTTTGTTTTGCAATTTGTGTGATTTTCTGCATATTTTGTGATTTGTTTTTTAAATCTTGGTGTTATTAACTGTACAGTAGTTTTTTTTTTCTTTTTTACAATTTGTGTGATTTTTCATATATATATATATATATATATATATATATATATATTAAATTTGGGTGTTTTCTAATTTATGTAGAATTAAATACGCACATGTAGAAAGCTTGAAGTTTTATGTCTTCGTTTGTTTGTTTTCTGCAATTGAAACCTAAGAGTTTGAAATGCTTGGGAGTCTTGTCATGTGTGATTTTGCAAATTTGTATTTGCCATTTAGTACTCAATGGTGTTGTATTGTGGCATTCAGTAAGCATTAATATAAAGTTTGGATTTTGATTTGTTTGTTTTTGTGCTGTTGGTGAAGGTTTTATACAGAAGGATTTGGAATGATGTTATTGAGGCAAAGGGATATACCAGAAGAGAAATACTCCAATGCATTTCTTGGGTTTGGACCTGAAGAGTCAAATTTTGTTGTCGAGTTGACTTACAGTTTGTTCCTCTCAAAATCGTATCCCTTTTTCTTTAATTTTGTTTTCATGTGTGAATTCACTGGTTATTTACGTATTGTTTAGTTGGTGAATGGTAAATCATATAGGAAAAAATGGACCAATGGTAGACATTGGTATCATGTTGTATAATAAAAGGGGTTATGCTGCAGAGAATCTCTTTATGTTGTTTAATGAATAGTGGATTCTTCAGATTCAAATGGGTCTTTTTTTTCTGTTTTTCAAACTTTTTATAAATTTTATTCTTTTATAATTGAAATTGAAATTTATGTTTTTTGTACGTATTGTTCACTAATTACTTATGTATTTGCTTGCTACCTTTCACCTTTATTATTTTCTAGCATGTTGATCTTCTTTGAGGAAGATGATAATAAGCTAAGAATTCTTGTGGTGTGGAATGAGATCTACGTGTAATGGTTATCCATATTAGATCTCTTAGTGCTATTGGATAGGGATTGATTTCTGTATCCAAGGAGGGAAGCATTACTGTTACTGTGATGGTTATATGGATTTTAGTTCCATGCCACAATTGTTAATATGTTTATGATGTTGGAAAGTAGTGAAGGGTTTAGAAATGAGTAGGTTTTGCATGAAAAATCTTTTTAATCATATCATTGCGCAACAAAAAGTCGACTGAAATCTTTCAATCTCCTCTCGTGTGGCACTGGGAATTTATGTACTTGGTTGATAATTTACAGATTATGGAGTCACTTCATATGATATTGGAACTGGTTTTGGGCATTTTGCAATTGCAACTGAGGATGTAAGTGTCATGCTATGTTTGTAGGTTTTTAAGCTGATGTTTTTTATCCCCTCCTTGGTGCCATGAATAAATTGTGTTTTGTGGTCTTTTAGGTTTACAAGCTGGTGGAGAAACTTCGTGCCATTGGTGGCAACATTACTAGGGAGCCTGGTCCTGTCAAAGGTGGTACATCTGTCATCGCCTTTGTGAAGGATCCTGATGGTTACATTTTTGAGCTTATCCAAAGAGGTCCAACTCCTGAGCCCCTGTGCCAAGTAATGCTTCGTGTAGGAGATCTTGATCGCTCTATCAAGTTCTATGAAAAGGTAGCACTGATCGTATGTGTGAATTTTGTTTGATCTGAGATGGTAATGGCAGGAGCAATTATTAAGTAGGCGAGAGAAAATATTTAATGTCAGAATATTTTAGCATCTGCATAAAAGAACCCATTTCATCTGGGCTATTAATTGGATTCCATGTAATTAGCGATCAGGTGAGAGCTCATCTTCAGGATGGTTATAAAGAAAATAACTATAGGCAAGAATTGATTTGGTAGAAACAAAAACTGAAGAACTTGGAACAGTTGAACTTAAACTGAATACCATTTTTGGGTTGATGTGATGGGTTGTTTTTAAATCTCAAATTGATTAATTTAAACCTGACTCTTTAATAACAGAACTTGGTTGAATTTTAAACTTGTCTGGTCTTTAGGAATTTATGATTGCCCCTTCTGTTCAGTGAATCAGTCAAGTCTAGTTCTATATGTTTGTGAGGCTACAATGTTGCAGGCATCATGGAACTAGCAATGACCCCAAACAACACATTTGAACCAAGCTTTGGTTTTTCCTTCTGTGCAGGCCTTGGGGATGAAGCTATTAAGGAAGATTGACAGACCTGAGTACAAGGTGAAATGTTCTCTTTAATGATTTGATTCATATATTTAGTTTTAGGTGTACTAATATTCTTTGAGATATAAATGAGGCTATTGAGTTCCCTCACCTTGTTGATTGCACATCACAGTACACTCTGGCCATGGTTGGCTATGATGATGAATACGAGACGACTGTCCTAGAATTGACGTACAATTATGGAGTTACTGAATACACCAAAGGAAATGCATATGCGCAGGTGAGTTAAAGTCATTCTTTCAGCTATCCTATCTCCTTGACATTTCCTCTGCTTGAACACTGATGAATATGGTATTCATTATAGGTTGCAATCGGTACTGATGATGTGTACAAAAGTGGTGAGGTTGTCAACCTTGTAATACAAGAGCTCGGTGGCAAGATAACCCGTCAACCTGGACCAATTCCAGGAATCAACACCAAAATTACCTCTTTTCTAGATCCAGATGGCTGGAAAACTGTAAGTTTTCTCTAATAAATTTTGGGTTCTAAGTTAAATGAGATGTTGCATACTTCTCTGCTTTCTAATATTCTATTACATTTGTCTAATTGTTAAAAATGGCTGGAAAGGGATATCTGATTTCATTCTGCTTGCCCTTCGAGTTGAGAAAACAAGACTTTCGAGTTTCATAAAAGAATCAAGTGTGACTGCACGTGGGAAAATTAATTTAGTTTATATCCCTTTAAGTTTCAAAAGCTAGACTTGCTAGTCCTACCGAGCGATAGGAGAAATAGATATTGGTGGCCAGAGGATGTGTTAAATAGATCTGTTAAATATAGATTCTGCATTTCTGAGTTTGCCTCCAAAGCATCCTAGTTATTATTGCTGTTTACTCTGTAACTGTAGGTTCTGGTTGACAATGAAGACTTTCTCGAAGAACTGTTCGGGTAATTGCTCAAACAGAGGATTCTGGGCCCACTAGCTACCGATATATGAAGAATAAGTAATTCAGTGTTTGTATTTTTATCCATAGCAGCCAGTAATCCCTGTTTCGATATGGCTGTTGCTTGTTTCCACTTGAGATGAATGAATCTGCTGCTACTTCGAACTGAGAGAAAATGTTGTGTTTATGAGTGGCATTTCTGACTTGCATGGTTATTATCAGTTTCCTGCCTCCTCTGGTTCCTCTTCAGCGTTGTGCTAATAATAATCATAGTTATAAGATCCGTACTAGGTTCTGCGTTCTGGCTTGGGTTTTCTATAAATGAAATAATAGTCGTCATAACCACCAGAGATTCAGGGGGTTACTTGTACTTTTTTTTTTATTATTAACCTGATCTCGTTTAAGAAATTGAACTTATAAGAGCACATATTCATGCTTTGAAGATCAAACTAATCAACTTCTAAGAATTTGCCCAGCATCAATTTGTCTTCCTTTCCCTTTTTTTTTTTTTCTGACTTTTTATTACACCTGAACTTCTTAGCCATGCAATCCTGTAAAATATCCAACGTTAACTTCCTTAACAACAACAAAGCTTCAATGGGTGACTATAACCCGGGAGTCTTGTTCTTGCATTCAACTAAATCCCTTACCAGTCTTTTCCCTACTTTCAATCCCAGGATTTCTAAACCATATCAGAACCACAACTTTTATTTGAAGCTTTTTATTTTTTTTCCTCATCATACCACGCATGGCTATATGATGAATGCAGACCCAAAGTGACCCTCTATCGCTTCTAAATAAAAGTGAAAGAAAAATCCCTCTTCAATACTCAAGACTAAAGTACGAGAACTGCTCTTCCTTTTTATTTACTCTTGCATGGTGCAGATGTCAACATTGGATTTAAGTAAAGGATGCGTCAAAACTTCAATTTACTCTAGCATACCGTAGGTGAAGGTTTCTTACAATCTTAAGATTTAAAAGTTCTCCTTACAAGTTCTGTGGCAATCGGTGCTGAAAGAAAACTTCAATGAGATGAGCAAAACCCGTACATCATGTTCTTGCATTCTGTTAGGAATTCCACAATCTCTACATTAGGAATAGATAATCTGCAGATATTTACTTTTCTATTGTAACGCCTAACTTATAGGGAGATAACCTGATTTGATTCCTAATAAAAAGGGAAGTCTTGAACCCTGCTTGTATAAATACATGAAGAGATCAATAGTACATTATTCATTCCAGCAGATTCAATCTCCTTCTCTTCTTAATTTACATGGTATTAGAGCTTGATTAAAAATCCTTATCTATTATCACATCCCAATCTCTTCTATGCAAACCTCTCGAGTCCTTATTTCACTCATCATTTAGATCATCCGGGAACGATCTTGATTCCACAATCCTTGAATGGAGACAGTTATTCTACTTGGAAAAGGGCATGACTCTGGCCTTGAACTCCAAGAACATTTTCATGTTCTTGCAATCAACGATGGGACTCGTAAGATTACATGTATACTCAAAACATTCATGGTGGTGGTGATATGGGACTATCATCTCACTACACTATTCAGCTAACAGATCGATATACAAAGAAAGAGAGAAAATAAGGTAATGCTGATCATGGTTCTTACAATTTTGTTGAATGAAAGAGATAAAATATTGACTTGCACAGACCTGATGATAGATAGAAAAGAAACTGTAGCAGTAAAGGGTTTCTGTTGCTTTGATCTTTCTTTTCTTCTTCTTGTCACTAACCTCTTCTCTTCCACTCTGTCTTTCCCTTTTCCCCTCCCTTTCCTTGTTCTTGTTGGTGTCCTTTTATAGGTGAATAATACTCCTTCGAGGAAAGGAAACAAACCACCAACTTTACGAGGGTTGATTCCTCAGCATAACGGGGAAAACCACGTGCAAAACAGAGATCAGAGTGATACAAGTGTGCCGTCATGCACCTTTCCCTGTTCTGCCCATGCACTCCTTACGCGCCTCCTTGTGCCAGCCACTTTAGCATTGTCTTCTTTGCTCGAATGCTCAGACCTGCCCCGATAACATGACCCGATTTGACTCGACATGTAATCCAACACATCTCCACGTAAGCCGTCCCGATAGCCGGAGATTACGCCATTTTTTCATGACAGCATTATGCCCCAATCTCTTGCCATGCATGTCAGGCAAACCTGTTGAAAATGGCTGGTAAGATGCCAGGTGAAACCAATTTTGTTCGTGGAAGAAAGGTCTTCCATGTCGAACTCCCATCGTGGCCTACTCCAGTTGCGAAGCCGATTGAAATCCTTCCATGCTATTGAGAACACGAATGGTTATTGTTCTGTACTGTCTGTTTTCCTCTCGAAACTTATCTGCCGCATTCATGTTGGTGCTGTTAGTTTGTATTACATCTACTGATGATATTAATATAATTGACGGTGCTGTTAGTTTGTATTACATCTACTGTCTACTGATGATATTAATATAATTGTCTGTCATGAGCTAGCCTATTCGGCTGTTACTTGAATTAAGTTTTTCGTCTGATACTTTTTATACTTCTTTTAGGTTTATCTGGGTGGGTTTGTTGTTGTGAATGACGAGTGAATCAAAGCAATAAGACTTGCTGACATTGTAGCTAAAACAACTAAACTGGAATTATCGAAAGTAGAAAATGATCAGCTATATCAATGCTCTAACTATACTTAAGTTTGAAGCATTACGTAACAAGGGTCTATATATGTTTTGCCCACACAGCATCGATCTTGGCATTCTAAGATCCCTTCTGGTTTGTGCGCTCTTGCTCGTTAGTCATGGACATCCTAATATTTATTTTGCTAGAATTTGGCTCGCCCTACAATTTTTTTAAACGACAAAAATATCTGATATTAATGGCGTGCTTTTCAAGAGAGACAAAAATCATGGAAGCCAAATTCAACTCATTGAATTTCTTCAAATATTAAAGATGATAATTTTTTAAAACATTACAAATATTAAAGATGATAATTTTTTAAAAAATTATCATTAAAACGTCGGATTATGAAATCAGCTGTCGTACCTGTCTGATCACTTGTCGAAGTAGGGTAGTGGTTGACGTGAGGGAACAAAAATTGCTTTAATGATTCTTTCGATTTCTCAAGATGCTTGCTGCTGCCAGTACTCTCTTGCTTTATTAGCTGGCCTGACATTACTGACTTGATTGTTTCTCGAAGATTTTGTCTCAATTTTATTTACTAAATTCTGCTCTATCCGCATTTCTTGGTTCTTGCTATTTTCACAACCCAAACCATTTCATTATTATATCTGCCATGCTCCCCACAATAATTAGAACGAGTTGGAAGTGGCTTGGTAATATTCTGTCTTATCTTCCTTGTACTCATGAAGTTCGACAAAGATAACCTCAAAACTAACCTGAAATTAATATTGTCGGTGCCACGAAGAACCTTATATGTTGGCGCCTAAATATCAAACATTAATTTATCTTTTCTTGTTTGGTTATACCGAGCCAAAAGTGCAACCGATTTGTAACGTAGGCACATGATTACGACTATTTTTTAAAGGATTTTTTATATTAAAATAATATTTTTATTATTTTTTAAAAAATTACTTTTAAAATTAATGTATCAAAACAATTTAAAATATATAAAAAAATTAATTTTTTTTAAAATACATATTGGTACAGGTTTCTAAATGCTGCTTTACAAGGGGAGGGGAGAGGGGGAGAGATTGATTTTGCAAACTTAGCTGTGAGAATGAATATCGAATTCTTTGTGCAACTTAACTGATGATGCACATGGCACGCATGCCCCATGTGAAGAAGATTTCTCTTCTCTCGTACACGTGGATACTGCGGGCATCCACCGGGTCAACGTCTTCTCCGCTCGCAAGCTTTTTCACTTTACATCCAGCTAAGCAGGAGACTCATAAAGTTTCACAAAGACAAACTGAAAACTAACCTGAAATTAATGTCGGCGCTAAAATTCAAACTTAAAAATTATTAAAAAATTAATATATAAAATCGATATTAATTAAAAAAATTAAAATTAAAAAAATAAGATTAAACGCTATTTAGTCTAATAAGTTAAGTCAAACACTTGACCTGTTAAAAAAAGCTAATACTTGAGCCTACAAGGTTTGATTCACGCACACAAGCTCTTAATTATTATTTTTTTAAATTAATAGGGTCATTCACCCTAATTTTTTGACAAGAAAATAAATAATATGTCATCTAGAATTCTCTAGGTTTCAATCACTATAATAACTAGAAAAATTCATATTATTTTCATTTAAAATTTATTTTTAATTTATTTGTTTAGTTAAAATATCTAGAAAATATTGCAAGAAATCTTCATGAGCTCAGATCTGTTATTTTAGACACTTTCAAAGTACAAAAAACAAATTTGAACTTTCCTCGTCATATAAAATTATTTGACACAAAATCGATCATTTTGGTGGCCGAAATAATCATTAACGACAACTTTCTCTTTCCATGCTAGAATTTAGTGAGCCCTTCTCTCTCCTCCCACTCAAAAAATACTGAATCATAAAGAAAATAAAGTTTAATAGTGAAATTGTATTTTCAAAAATTAAAAGTACCAGTTACCTAATAGCTAAAAAAAATGAGGTCTAAAATGAAGTTTCTAAAAAAATTTCAAAATCATCACCTATTTTATCAATTTATTTTTTTCAAGATTATCCCCGTGAGTATTTCCTATCAAATTAGTTTAACCCAAGTAGATCTAGTTTGTTTCCATCTTAATATTAGATAAAAATATCATTGAATTCATGATTAAAATTATTTTTTTAGAAGATATGTTACCAATACCTAGACAATTTTTTTTTTTCACTCAAATGTATTTTTACTCTGCCTCAGAGCATAGCATAGGTTAATAGGCTAGTAAATTTGTGTGCTTTCCATTACCTTTTCTTATCATCAACTTTAAAGTTTTGCTTTTTTTTAGTCTAAAACTTACACAAGATTTTTTTGTTTAGGTTTTACACTACAAAGCCTTATATTTGTTTCATTCTTTGAATTGTGCTAGATCCTTACTTTCACAGTACTCCGAGTCGAATCAAACTTTTTTTTATATAAAAAAAATATTTAAATGTTGTTAATATATTTTTTTAGAAAAAAATAAAATAAAATAATATGAAAATTGATCTGATATGATATAATTGATTTTGCAAATCCAAAAACAATCTGAATTACTGATAAAAATATTATTTTACTAAAAAAAATAAAGATAATTAGATGGATTCGAATCAATACTGGTTAACTTGTCTAATCAGCTACCCAGATCATGAGGCCTTGATAACCCTATAGAAAAAAATATTTTTTTTTATTAAACTCAATTCTCAACTCAATGTTGAAGGATAAAATTAAAAAAAAATCAACTGAAAAAAGAAGTCAAGTCAATTCGGGTTAATTTTTCAAACCCAGGTTATGACATCAGAATAACCTTATAGAAATAAAATAAAATAAAATTATGAAACTCAATTCCCAATAAATCTAATGTTGAAGGATGAAATTAAAAAAAAATCAATAAAAAAACATAATAAACCACCCAAATCAACTGACCAAACTCATAATCCGAGTCGAGAGACAAAGATAACATCACAGAATACAAATAAAAATAAATTAAGTATCCTAATTCTCAATTAACCCCAAAATTAACGGTTGAAATTGAAAAAAAAATTCAACTTAAAAAAAAAAACTCAAGTCAATCGACCTAATTTACGACCTGGGTCATAAGACTATAATAATCCTATAAAAAGAAAATAAAAAAATAAAGCTCAATTACCTATCAACCCAATATTGAAGTATTAAATTAGAAAAAAATAAGACAAAAAAATAATTTAAGTCAACCTAGATTAACCTACCAAACCCTAAATAGAAGATTGACATAACTCTATAAAAAAAATAAAAAAAATTATAAAGTTCAATTCTCATTCAACTCAATATTGAAGGATGAAATTGAAAAAAAAATTAATTAAAAGAGATAGAAAAAACCTGAGTAAACTTGTCTAACTCGCAAATTCGCGACCCGGGTCATAAAACTGTGATAAACTTATAAAAAAATTATAAAGTTCAATATCGAGTAAAGTCAGTGTTGAATAATAAAATTCAAAAAATAAGTTGAAATTAAAAACAAAAAGTCTTAAAAAATATTAGGACTATAGCTAAAAAAACCTTGGAATTTCACTGTTTATTGCTAAAATAACATGTCAATACCCTTTAATATATGTTAATCATTGTTTATTGTTACAGAGAAATGTAAATGTATTTTTATCATATGTTAATGTAACAAACAATTGAAACCTATATCTATTTAACTACAATCTTTCTAGAGTTAAATTCTTAAAAAATAATAATAATAATTGGTAACTAAAACGCATGGAATGCGTTTGCTGGGACTCATGAAGTTAACAATTAAGGATAATTATTAGTATTTGTTTTTAGGAGAAAAACGTGGGAGGTCAATAGTTAAGGTGTTTAAAATTTAACCTTAAGAGGTGTAAATTAGGGTCGGGGGAGGGGATTTTTATTTTACATTCTCTCTCTCTCATTCTCAGACTAATAAACATTTTTCATTTAAAAAATGTTAAATGCTAATAAATTTAACATTAGGTGGACATCACATTTCTTAAACCTAGAAAATATGATTCTTTTTAAATCCATATGGTCTAAAATTATCAGGCTATCCAAGTTATTTTTTTAAAAAACAATTAAAATAATATTAATCTTAGTTTAAAAAACAAAAATCAACAAGTTACAACCAGTTTTTTGACAGGATCACTGGATTACATTAGTTTTTTTTTCTTTAATCTGACCTAGTTCTAGGCCTGGGTAGACTGGATCTCAAATCGACCCGTCGGGTCAGGTTTCAAAACAATGTTACATAGTGACTGGGAATATTAATTTTTTTAAAAAAAAAAACTTAATTGCTCCTATTTTTTATTTAAAAAGGATAAACATATCCTTATTTTTACCAATAATGCAATTGTTATAGTCTTCTAACTTATTTCAACAACTAATTATATGTATTTTAATGACTTTTATTATATTAGAAAAATTATTGTTATTATAATAAATGTATCATGTATTTTGTTGATAAATATATTATTTTACTTGGTTATTTTATTTTATTATTGGATTAGACCTCAGCCATGAGAGTATAATAGTAAATTTGTTGGAACTCATCATGAGTTTCCTGCATAAATCAAATTTAATGAAGACATATTATTAATTTTTTTCATTCAAATACAAATATTACATTCCCAATATCAAACACCTTCTAATTATATAACACTTTAATATACAAAATCTAATATTCATTTATATTTAATTATAATTAATGAGCTCCACTAATATATTTGATTTTTACTCTCCTATCAAACAACTTTTTCATCCTTAAATATTATCTTTATAACAATTAATCATATAATAATTGATCCATATTATCTTAAGCAGAGTCGGTATTTTATTTCCTGTGTTATATGTATGATTTACATATTATGTTTTTGTTTCTTGAATCTTTTATTTTTTTAAAATTTTTTTTGTGCAGCTTACCCTGTATTCAGTTGAGACTAACTTCCCTACTAAAGCACAATACTCTTAAATAATTATTTAATTAAATTAATTAAAAGAATAAAATTGATAGGATTTAAACGCATGAACATTTCATTTATTGATGATTCTCCTCAAATTTTTGTAAGACTAATGAAAGCGGTTAGTTCCACTTCTGAATTAAATTAATCGTACTTGTTTATTTATTCTTAATTAATATCTTTCATTCCCAGACACAATTGCATGGAATCTTGTGCAATCTCTTTAAAGAATTAATAAGAATTAATTTATATCATTATTAATATTTGATTAATTATCATAAACCAAAAATTAAACTTAATAAAATCAAAGATTATTTGAAATTAATATCTTATTTATCTATAATTTATTTAAATTATATTAATTAAAAAAAACTTTCCATAATTGTATCATTTACGTATTATGTTTTCTTTCTCTGGTTTTTTTTTTTTTTTAGCAGAATACCATGCCATACAAATTAATCCTCGCCCGCTTACGGTTCTATTGGTAGCGTGTAGAGGCTTCTCGGAGAAACCCGGCCCCTGTCGTTTTGATAATAAAGTCTACACGTGCAGTGGCTAACTTCGACTGATGCTGCTTTCAACCTGACCAAGAATACCGGGTTAAGATTGTTTTGTTTTGTAGTGGCTATACATGAGGTATCTGAGGTTGTCTAAGCCGGCGCCTTTTCTATTAAAAAAGAAGAAAAGTCCGTTAACTTTTTCTTCTTTTCTTCCGTTAATCTTTTCTACTCCGTTAACCTTTTCTTCTTTTCTATTTTCTTCAACAGACTCAGAAACTCTTAGTCTTAGGTACAAAGGGACAACAACCTCTTCTACTTTCATTACCACAATCCCTACTAAAATAATTAGGCAAACACACTTCTTATCTTCTTTTATAAATTTTTCTCAGCCCTTTTAATTTACTAGAAATGGAGGTGGTGGCAATGGAAAAATCACTGTCCAAGTGTGATGCAACATATAATCGAATGGAATTTCCGAAGAAAAGCCTAAAGAACTTCCCCAATATCCCTGCTGGTCAAAATTATTTCAACTTTGTTGCGGTGGACACGCTAGGCAAGCGATGGGGATTCAAGGTCTCCATTCGCAACGTGGGAAGATATAGGAAACCTTGGATGTCTGGCCAATGGAGGAGGTATGCTCGAGAGAAAGGGTTGAAGAAAGGAGATAGAGTTAAGTTGATAATGCATGTGGAGGGAAATGCTGTCAGGAGTTATCGTATCAGGGCTGAAAGAAACCTGACGATGGGCATCTGGATACCGGTTGAAGAGTTTGCACAATAGAGATGGAAATGCGTAAGTTGAGCTAAATGTGTGGTTCATTTCTAATAAAAAATGAAGACAAACAAATTGCCCCTTTCTTTCATGGCGTTTAGTCTTGGTATTACGTAAAAAAGCCTTGTGGCTTCGCACCTTGCATCCTTCGTAGTTGTTTGCAGCATTAATCACTAGTTCCTGTACTTTGTTTATATGTACTACTGTTGACTTACCAGTACGCGGTGGGCTCGTGCATTTTATGTCCGTTTTTTCTTTTATATGAAAGGGGCATATGCTACCATGAGGTTTTTAGCTTGTAATTCCATCCTTATATAAAATATTTTGGTGTGTTGGGTACGATAAATTCTTATCTTAAACCGAAATGCTTTCTTTCAGTACCTCTGATACGTTAAGACCTTAGTTTAAATGGGCTAAGTGTTTTTTAATTGTTGGTACATTTATGGTTTAAATGAGCTTCGATTAATCATCCATTAAATACCAGAAACCGAAATGCTTTCTTTCACCTCTGATACGATAAATTCTTTCGCCATTCTCTTGCTAATGCATAGTCAAGATAACCTTGTCTCCTTTCTCCAGCCCTTGCTGACGAACATGGTCATCCCATTCGCCCTTTTTCAATTTCTGACCAATTTACTCAAATTTAATAATTTCATCCCTAAACTTTGAATTTGTGTTATTTTACTCCATACTCAAATATATTTTTAATAATTGATTTTGTATTATTTATTCAAAAAATTGGATTATGACACATACATACATACATACATACATACATATATATATATATATATATATATATATATTAAATCCTACTTAAATTTTTTTATTAGAAAAGATTGGTTTAAGTTTTTATGTTTGTAGGATAAAATAAGATTAATACTATTGACTTTAAAAATTTTGAACTGTAATTTCTTCATCAAAAGTTTTCCTATAGCTTTGACTTGTAGTCTTAAAGCTCGATAACTTTTAATTTGACCATTTTCATCATACATTGCATACGTAGGAAAAATTAAATCCTCTTTCATTAATCTCTAAATTTCAATCCACATTTTGGAAAGCTATGAACAAACATTTTAAATTTTAGTTGTTAAATGATCCCTCTAAGAGCAATGCTTTATGTTTATGTTCTTTTCTTTTAGCTTAAAGAAAGCTCAATTAGCCTCATTTCAATTTATACACGTAGGAATTAGGATGCTCCCGATTAATTAATGAAGGCCTATTGTTGCTTCATGGAAACTGTCTTCAGTACCAGATGGCTCACAAGAATCACATAACACCTATAGCCTTATGTTCTCTAGCTAGATCACATCAGATTATATACTGCTGCTGTATATTAGCTCCGGTCGCGTAAGTAGAAAATGCATGCAGAGCGTATATGGGGCCGGTAGCGTTTTCCATATCAAAGGGATAGATTGAAGAGGTGAGTTTTTATTCGTTCTGATATTTTTCTTCGAAGAAGTTAGCAGCAATTGTCATATATTACACTAGAGATTAAAAGTTCAAGCAAGCTTAGTTGAATCCAAATTAATGTAATGTTGACAAAAGAAAGCACATTAAGCATAGAATTTATTTTTCTAATATAAACTACCATCCCAAATAACACACAAAAGAAGGGAAAAAAAGAAGAAAAATGATGAATAAACAATGAAAAAACATAGTTAAATGGAAGGTTCTTCACAAACTTGAAGAAACACAAACAAATTTGAGAGAAGAAGGCAATTATTCAAAGCACAACCTGTTGAACATCACAGTTCGATCATTCTATATATCGAGCAAAATCATGAACCTTTGGTGAGGAAGTGACCTCATCGCAAGATACCTTGTCCTCAACTTCATGGTCACAAAGTAAAAACTGCAGCAGCGATTTGAATCAGCGCGGAACTAGTGGTATTTGCTTAGAAGGATTCATTGGAGGCCTTAGAGCCATAGGATGAGGGCGTTTCTTAGGATCCGTGTGAAAAGAAAGGTTAATAGTTTCCTGCCAATTTCTCATAATTTTTGGTATGAAAAGAAATGGTTTTCTGCTGCTAAATCTAGTTCATAAAAAGAATTGATTTTACGTAGATCATGAAGATTTTCATGGAGAATCCAAACCATAGCCAGTGATCTTCTCATGAAATTATATAGAGCAAGCAATTTCAAAATTGATGCAACCAATTTCAAGTAAATAATGTTTCCAACCGATACCGAATGGATATTCTTGCGTAATTGTTATTTTAATTTAATGATACATAAAAATAATATTTTTATATATATTTTTTGAAACATTTTGACATCATTATATTGATATAAAAAATTTAAAAAATTAATTTAAATAAAAAACTTAAATTCTTAAAAGAACACGGCTATACGACTTAAACAAACACTCCTCCATGATCCCTTTTGGTGAGCAAAAGTCAGCTGTAGAATAGTATTATTATTAAAAACGAGCAAACATTCTGCCTAGCTCAAAGGATAGCCCAGCTCAAGTTAAGTTTATTTAAGAATTGTTTTGAATATTAACTTTTCAAATTTAACTGGCTTAATAGGTCCATTAAAAAAAAGTGAAAAATCAAGGAGAAAGATTTGAGTGAGCTCAGGTGAACCTACTACATTTATAATATAGTTTATGCACCCCATTAAATTTAATAATTTTTATTTTTGAAATTATTTTTAATTTAATTACATGACAATAAGGCACATAGAACTCTTTTTGTATAAAAAAATTTAAAAAAAAACATATTTTCTTAAGTTAAATAACAAAGAGTTTTTTTCTAATCAAATAAAAAATTAAAAAAAAAAAAAACAGGACAAGCACTTGGGATTGAAAAAAAAAAAACTATTTTCTTAAGTTAAATAACAAAAAGCTTTTTGAAATCAAATACAAAAAGAGACCTTTAAATAACAAACAATTATTTTAAAAAACAATTAAGAAGCTAAAAATGCATTAAAAAATTGTGACAAAAAATTAACAATTAGACAAGTATTGGGCATACCTATATGCCTGGCCCATAAAAAAAAATTGGCACACAAACCATATCTATTTTTCCCCTAATATGAAGGGTTGGATGATGTTTTATTCAATCTTTATTAAAAAAAAAAATATCGCAGATAACCTGTTGTTTACGTCCCCAAATTCCAAAGACTAAAAGGTAGCCCAAAAATCAAGGTAGATATATTTTATGTTTTTAAATTCATTTTCAACCTATGTTTACACCTAGGATATATTTTAAATAATTTGATAAATTTGATATCAAATAACAAAAAACTGGTTCAAAATCCCAAAATCAACTCATTTCAAAAAAATTATCGATTATTAAATATACTAGCTCGAATGATAAAAAGGTAAAAAAAATATCTCAATGAAATTTTTTTATTACATAAAATTTTTTAATACTAAAATTAATTCTTTTATTGTTGAAATCAATGCCAGCCTATAATTTTTTTTTTACCTTTAAAATCTGGTGAATCTCTTATTTATTTCTCAAGAAATAAAAAAATAAAATTTTAAATCAAAATTAATATTTTAGAATTTAAAATGACTGGAAAATTATCATTTAAAAATTAGGGATAAAGTGAACATTTTACGATAATTTTGAAACCATCTTTTACTTTCATCATCGTTTTTGCTTTGATTCTTCTTTTTGTATTTAGCCCTGTGTCAACGAATTAAAGGCAATGGACCATCAATTTAGTCACAAAAAAATTTATTCAAGGAGAAAAAAAATTTGAGAATAAAAAAAATAGCATTGCTTGAATTCACATTAAATTAATAAAGAAAATCTTAAGTATCTTCAATTTTAATAAATTTCAACTTTAAATTTTAAATTTTTTTTTAAAATTGATTTAAGTTACAAACATAAATTTAATAATTTTAAAATTTTGATATCATAATTTTAATTCTCCTAAATTTTGGTATTGTATTTATTGAAAAAAAACTTGTACGATCATTAGTGTTTTTGCAGACAAAATAAATATATGGCAAAGCTGCCAGGTTATTTTATTCAAAACAAAACTTTATACAAAGAATTAGAATTATGATAATTTTTTAATTTTAAATTAATTCTATAAAATAATTTTAAAATTAATCAATTATGTCAAAGGTCATTAAAGGTAAGGGTGCTTAAATTATTATATTTTTTTATATATAAAATAAGGATGAATTCTTAAAAACAAATAACAAAAATACTTGAAGATAATATAGAAACTAACTAGACATGGATTCACGTTATGCCGCATGGCTTCATTTTTTTTTCTAAAAACATTGAGTTTAAAAAACATTAAAATTCTTTTTTAAAAATAAAAAAACTTTATAAAAAAAATCAAGTCAACTCATGTTAATCAATCAAACTCATAACTCAAGTTATAAGATTAAAATAATTTGATAGAAAATTTTAAAAAAAATCATGAATTTCAATTTTTTTTAAAAAATAATATTTAATGATGAAATCAGAAAAAACAAATATAAAAAAAATAATGTCAAATCATGTTAACTTTTCAAACCTTTTTTCGCAAGTGTGCAGCGTCATAGCGATTGTTCACTCTTCGTATTTATCTGGCAAATATGGAAATTGAGAAAAGAAAAATTTTTTATTTTTTATTAGTGGAATAAGAGAATAAGTGTCACCACCTACTACTTTGATCACCAGAAACTCTAATTGGTCTCACAGATTGAGTATGAGGATTGGTTGCATAAAAAGAAGATATTAATACCCCAAATAAGGTAGGCTGTATTGTTTAATTATCTGATAAAAAACTAAAGTCTTGTTGTGTTTTTTAATTATTAATCAATTTATGATTTAAGATAAGTCTTCCTCGATAAGGAGATATTTATCTTGTCGGGTAAAACCTAACTATATAAGTCTTCCTCGATAAGGAAATATTTATCTTGTCGGGTAAAACCTAACTATTTTAACATCAATAAAAAAAAAATCTATCTTTTTAATATCGAGAATATATCTTACATGTAAGTTCATAATCACAAATATTAAAAAAATAAAATAATTTTTTTGGAATATTTGAAATATTAACCTAGTTTTCATAACTTTAATAAACTAGTTATTAAAACTAAAATACATGCTAATTTTTTTTTTGAATTTTTAGTGTATGAAATATGATATGTTTTTTTTTTTTATCTGTGAGATACATGGTATTATGCATGAAAACAATATATTTTTTTTGCAACATTTCAATAAAAAAAACAAGTATTTTAATACTAAAATTGTATTTTTACAGTATAAAAATGCCAACCAATATTAATCCAAAATGATGAAAAAAATATGCTGGAAAAATATAATTTTTTTGAAGGATTTTGTAATTTTTGTGAAATTTCCTTGTTTTTTTTTTATAAAAAGATAACAATAAAAATATAATAGATATAACATTATTATTATTATAATATTAGATTGGGTTTGGGCCTAACCCAATTATATGGGTGAGCCCAACTTGATCAAGCAAAGCCTCCCTAAAGGAAGTGTGCCATAATCGGCCCAATAAGGAGAAAAAAAAGACATTGGGCAATAGTAAGCCCATAATAAAATTGGGTTGGGACCAACCCAAAAAAAAAAAAAAAAAAACTTTTATATAAGGCTGGGTTGATCCCAAACACGTGGGTTGGGCTGATGGTCCAGCCCGAAGCAACTATGGTTTGCTTATTGTGCTATACACAGTAACCACTCAATTATAATTATCCAGTTACTGCGATTATGCACAGTAACAAACTAATTATATTTCTTGCAGCAAAAACATGCACAACGCGTATTCTGCATGTAAGTAAATAAACAGGAAAAGGAGAAGGAGAGTGCTACCTGGAATAAAAGGGGATATATTGGTTGAGCTGGCGGTGACTTCCTAGTGGTGAACAAAAATAATATCAGTGAGGATGTCGTGACTCACCGTTAGTGGCTCTAGGCAACGGTGGTGATGCTACTATTAGTAGAATAACTCTGCTTCTTCTTTCTGCCTTTGTTTTTTATTTTCTTTTCTTCTCCTTTCTCGCTCTAGGCTATGCTTTCCTCTCTCTTATGTTTCCCCTTTCCTTTTTGTTCTTTCTTTCTGCCTCCTATTCTCCCCTACTGTCCCCTATCTTTTTCTGTTTGTTTTCTCTTTTCTTTCCTTTCTGTTCTCTATTTCAAACCTCTTCAAAATTGTCCCTTTGTTCCCTTTCTTTCCCTGTGCTTTCTCTTTACTATTGCTCTTTCTTTACTCACTTTTCTTCCCTTCCCCTCCTTTTGCTTTTACTTTATTTTTCACTCCAATATTCCTCTTTTTATCCCTCGTTTTTCTACTCTCTTCCCCCATATTTATAGGGAGGAGGATAGAGGGTCACTCTACCTTTTCTCATCATTGTGCAAGGTAGGGTGGCATGGGGCATTCTCTAGAGAACATGGCTCCCTGTTTTTTTTTTTTTTTATAACATGATTGTAAGGTGTGTGGAGGGGTATGACTTATTAGTGTTTGGTCAAGTCGAGGGAGAGAGAGTGAGGGAAATATCAAAGAAAGCTTCTTCTTCCCTGTCTGTGTAGAGGGGGGAAGGAAGAGGATGCACAATGTTGTTCAAAATGACACTGTTTTGAGCCTTTTTGTTCCAAGTGTATGAAATAACGTCATTTTTCCAAAAATGCATCGTTTTATTTAAAAAGAAATGGTGCCAAAAACATGTCAAAGTCCAAATTGATCCTTTGTGATTTGTTCAATCAAATCCGTAATTGTAATTTTAATTTTAAGAATTAATTCAACTGCGTCCTCGCCAAAATAGGATGTCAGCCCTAAACTTGGCCATTCTTTTCACGTTGATCTTTGGTCTTGGATTTTTATAATTTGACCCTCAATTGATTAATAAATTTTTAGTTTCTTAAATTTAGTCCCTGATTCAGTTAATTTCAGCCCTTCTATTTACGTGTTGTTTCTAGTTTGGTTCTTGGTTTCAGATTTCTTCAATAAATCTCTAATTGGCTATCAAACTTTAATAATTATACAATTAAGCCTTTATTTGATCAAATCAGCTCTTAAAAATTATAATTTAACTCCAAAACTTTAATTTCTTTCAATTAAAGCCAAAATTGACTTAAAATCAAAATTTCTTACAATCAAACCCTTCATAAATTTAATTAAACCTTCAATAAAATTTAATTGACTCCATAAATATATGATTTTGGACTTTTCTTCCTCAAATTGAATGTTTTTTGTCCACAGGGCTCTTATTAGTCAACGATATACTGTCAAATCTCAATCTTTGTATTTTCAAACCTTCTAAATTAATTTTTGGTTATTTTTTAGGCGCTCTGGCATTCGTTTTCTCACTACTATTATTTTTTTGATTTTTTTCCAAATATATATATTTTTTTGTATTTTCTCCTTGTTTTACAGAGACCTAAAAATGGATAACAACACCTTTGACTTAGGTTTTTATGCTAGAAGCACCCTATTTAGAAAAATGATGAAGTTTAATCCCCGACCAATCAAATGTTAAATAATGGAATTAAAAAAATAAATCATACAAAAGGATCTAAAATTAAAAAAAAAATAGCAATGAAAAAAATAATGATTAAAATTGAAATAAAAAAAATAAATTAGATAACAACTATTATTGTTTTATTAGATGTAAAATTTAAAAGACAAATCAATTTCATAAAATGACCTAAAAAATTGTTCTAGCTCACAATAACTTTCTTTCTAGATAAACATTTTTTTTCTAGGCATATTAGCTTTTGTTAATTTACAAATTACTTTAATTTTAGATTTGACCAATTTAACCTATATAAATATTTATTATACCGGGGTTCCATAGGCATATTGTCTTATTTTGTTGTCCTAGATAAAATAAAATAAAAAAGCTAAAAAATAATGTTGACACGTGTTAATTTCTTAAATTTGAAATCTAAATCATTAAATTGAAAGCATCATATATGAAAAAAATCATGAAACCCAATCCAAATAAATCAAATATTAAATGATGAAACTGTAAGAAAAAATTAATCATACAAATGAATAAAAAATAATAATTAGAAGAATGATGATAAAAAAAATAAAATAAAAAATAAATTAGAGGAAACCACACATTTTTAATTAAAGTGTGAAATTGAGGGAAAAAATAACTTTAACAAAATGATAAAAAAGATAAAGAAAAAAGGACTAAATTAAAAAATATATATAATATAAATTTAGATTAAAAGATAAAATTAAAAACCAATAAAAATTTGAAGAAAATGGTTAAGAAAAATATTAAAAAAAGAATAAGAACTATAATGAAAAAAACCATAAATGACAAACTGGAATTGAAGAATAAAATTAAAAAAATTATAATTTTATAAAACTATCGAGGATAAAAAAATTTAAAGGAAAAAAACAAAGTCCAAGTACAAAGGTAAAACAAATTTAGCAGTAGCTTTGAGAATTTTCAAGATTAAACATAAAAATTAAAGACAAAAAAAATAATTTTATATATAACACCCACAAGGAATGTTTAGGATAAGTATTAACCACGAATAGATAGTCGTTAAGATAATTCAAAAGCTATTGTTTTTTTATTAGGTGATACCACATTTAAAAACCATAATATTTTTTTATGTGCTTACGTATGATATAATTATTTTTTTTATATTATTTAAACATTAAATGATAAATTTACCCCCCACCCAGATCCAAGAATAACAAAAAAATAAAATAAAAAATAATGAGAAAAAGGTAACCATGACCATGCACCAAAGTTATGTTTTTTTTTTTTAATTATTATTTCAAGATTAATAAAGTAAAATCAATGTGATTTTAATAGTAAAAAACATAAATACCTCTGCATACTAAACCTAAAAACAATTATTACATGAATATTTTTTTTACTTGTTCATAAAAAAAATAAAAAAAAACTTTGATACCCTCGTCAAGTAGCCCAATTGTTGTAAAATCATAAATTTACTATTCAAATAGAGAGTTTATAGCTACAGTATAAACATTGTTTGGACCCTTTTCCATTTAGTTTATTTTGTTATGTTGTGTGTGTGTGAAGGAAAAGAAAGAGACCAGAGATCGCGGGAGGACAGAGAAGAGCCATGGCCGGTGATGATGAGAAGCCAAGAAGAAGCAGAAGCAGAGAGCGAACACTTGTGTCATGTTGCTCCAACAAAAGAACAAGGAGAGATATCCCATCTTCATTAGAACAGTCCCGTTTATCTCTTAATGATCTGCAACCTCTCTTGATTGAAATTCTTCATAGGCTACCCTCCGCTCAATCTGCGTTTCTGTGCAAGTGTGTATGCAAAAAATGGTATTCTCTAATATCTTCTCCTTATTTTGCTGGTCGATTTATAACCCATCATCTCAATCATCATTACAAGCAAAACCCTTCTGCTCTTCTCATCAGTTACTGGAGTAAACCCAGTTGGAATGTCCTGTTCACATTTTCGGATGAACCCATGTTCAAATCTCGTGGATTTGAGCTCAGCTATCTCCCTGAAAGAAATGGGTGTGTTAGGGTCTCAGCTATCGTCAATGACTTGATGTTATGCTGTGTAGCTAAGATTGAAATTGGAATGTTGCAATATTATATCTGCAATCCATTTACAATGCAATGGATTGCCCTCCCATTGCTTGAAGCTGATTACATGAATGATTACAAGGTGGGATTTGTTTGTGAACCTTACTATTTTGAAGATAGTCAAGGAGAAAGTTTTATTAATAGCAAATATCGATTTAGGGTAGTTCATTTCACTAGAGTAGAATCTACGCAAATAGTTATGAAAACATATTGTTCAGAGAATCAAAAATGGTATAGGTCAGTTCTCGAAGGTTCCGAATTTTGGTGGATTACTGATGTTGTTGCACACAATGGGAAGTTGCTTTGGTGCAATCGTGAGCATATTTTTGCTTATGATCCCTTCAATCCAGAGCTATTCACTTCCATCAATTGCTCTTATATGCAAACCAGGTTGTTGCCCGCAATGGGAAAATGCTTTGGGGTGCGTCAGGGCTTTCTATGTTTGATGGAATTGGTAGGTGTGGGCATTGATCGGACTTTTCATATTTGGAAACTCAAGGATTATAATAACGGGGAATGGAGCTTGGAGGACCATGTTTCTCTCAAAGCAATGATCCCTGAAAGTTCCTTGGTTCGGGAAATCGTTGATGGTAGCGAGAACAAGTTAAAACCGCTGGGTTTCCATCCAAGTGATGGGAATATTGTCTACTTGCACTTCCAAACTTATGTCATCTCATTCAATACGCGGACAAAAGAGTTGAAAATGGCTGGTAAGATTCCAGGTGTGAGAGATTCCTTTTGTCACGGAAAGGTCTTCCATGTTGAACTCCCATTGTGGCCTACTCCAATTGCGAAACCAATAGAAATCCTTCCATGCTATTGAGAACATGACTGGTTATTGTTCTGTACTGTTACTCTCAAATCTTCTCTCACTGCTTTCATCTTGGTGTTGATGGTGTGTAATTCATCTACTGATGAGTTAGTCTGTCGGTTGTTACTTGAATTAAGTTTTTCATCTGATATTTTCATACCTCTTTCAAGTTTATATTTCCATCTGGTCAAAGATCTCCTCTGCTTCTGCAAGCCTCTTGATCTTGCAAAACCAAATCATCAAAGTATGATAAGTTATCATTTCTTGCACAAATACTTGCTTGCATTTCCATTCAACAAGAAATTATAAAAATGAGTATTTTCTGCTGCCCCAAATTCAACTTCCATGACAGCAAGAAACTCAAGAATCTTATTATATAACCGACACAACTTTCAGCACAAGTAAAGAATCGTTATCAATGCCAGACATAAAAACCTTCATTTATATCTTTCACAGCTTCAAATTCACGTGCTTTACTACCTAGTTTATGAAGAACTTTCTTGTAGATGGAAGAACTGGACTTGAAGTTAGGCTGCTTTGAGGCCCAAGAAAATAGGTGAAGCATGGTGGAGTCTTCTTCTTGGAGTTGGGGTGGTGGTAAGAGGCTCATGGTTCCTGGAATTGGCAAGAGGCTTGTTGTTATTTATTTTTAGAGCCTCATATATATATATATATATATATATATATATATATATATAATACTAAAAAAAATTAAGAAATGTTGGAAGAATATATCATAACACCTAAAAAATTGTTAAAGACTAGCTGAGGATCAAAATATACAAAATTAGAAAATTTTCTAACATAGTTTTAACTAAGAAAGACCTTATTAGCAAAGAAAATTCAAGTTGAGAAGAAAAATTCAAAATCTGAATGTTCAAGGACTTCATTGAAATTTTGCAAGGTTTAATTGAATTTACTGAGAGTTTAATTACAAGAAAAATTAATTTTTAAATTCAATTTAAGTTTTAATTGGAAGAAATTAAAATTTGAGGGCAAGATTGCAATTCTTAAGAGCTAATCAAAGGTTTAATTGTATAAATATTAAAGATTAATGAAAAATTAGGGACTTAATTGAATAAATAAAATACCAAGGACCAACTTGCAAAAAGCGAGTAACTTCAGGAATTGAATTTTTTGAAACCAAGGGCCAAATCAAAGAAAATTTAAAGTTTGATGGTAATCCAGGGATTCAATTAAACAAATAAAAAACTAAGAACCAACTTGTAAATGACGGTCAAATTTGGGGTTGGCAATTGAATTTAACAGATGAAATTGCATGAAATTAGAAGTTTATAAGGAACTTACAAGTAAAATTAAAAGAATTTGGAAGAATAGAGAGTAAACTAAAGTTTATCAAATCGTAAATTAAAAATCTTAATTTATAGGGTTGAGCTAAAATGATGTTGAAGATACAGTGTATCTTTTTCTTTGATAGTTTTGGTTAATTAAATAGGCACTTTCAGGCAAATAAATATGGCATTTCCAATACTTCAAAGGTTGTAGCCATCACCATTCAACTGAAAAACACTCTATTTACAACCTCATTTGTATGAAATCAAAAGTTTACATCCTATTTTCTTCAATTATCTCAACAATATCTTGTCTACGATTAGTCATTACTGTATTTTTAGATTCTATACTAATTGAGTTGATATTTTCAAACAAATAAAGGTGAAACAACAAACCTCCAAATTAAGTAAGAATGGATCCAACATAAAGATATGCACCCCTCATGCCAAATTCAGGTGGTCTTTTACAACGTTAATATTGGAGTTGCTTCGGCGAAGCCATGAAAGTGACTAACTCAATCAACCTTAACTAAAACACTCATTTGTACAAAATCACCATACTCTTTCGTTTGTTCACACACAAAACACTCAAAGATTTTCTTATCAAGGGTTTAAAACCTTTATCTTAAAATTAAAAGGTCAAAAACACTTCATGTTGGTCTTCAAATTTGTTACAAAACCACTTAAATCCAAATCATTGATCTAATGGTGAAACTAACCTAGTTCTGATTTATTAAAGCCCTAACAAACTCATCTAAAAACTCTTAATACAAGGGAAAAACAAGAGGGAAAAATACATTAGTTAATGTTTAAGAAATCCAAATCAAGATTTCAAGGTTTCAATTTGTTTTGCTGAGTTTGGAGATAAGAAAAAAGGAAGACAATAATAAAAATTAGTTCTTTTTTGAAGATTTTAAGCTTAGAAATTATATATTTATAAACTTTGAAAGTGGAGTTCATGAGGTCTGTTAGATTAGATAAATTAGTATGTTATGTTTACATTTTAGTTAGATTTGAAATCTACCAAATGTAATAGTAAGATGTTGATTTTTTTTTTGTTTAATTAATGTATGGTTCCAGATTCTTGAGTTGTTGTTTAACTCCATGGAATGTCAAAATGTCAATTTTAAAACCTAGACTATTCCAGCATGCTTTTTGTTTTGAGTTGGTAATTTGAGGAATGAAGATTTAAGCATGTTTTTCTTGTTTTTATTAGTCCATTTTGTTTCAATTATGTTTGTCATTAGTATTGTGGTTTGCTGGAATGAAGAAAATATATTTTAGAGGCCTTAAATAAATATTCTGGGATTAAACAGTGTTTCTGGGTTTTTTAGGATTTCGAGTTCATATTTGTTATGTTCATTTGAAGAATATTTTTATGGGTGTTAATTTTAGAGCTTGTTTTGATTTAATTCTAGTTTCTGCAAGTTTGTATATCATTATTTGTAAATAATTTAGGACTTCCAAGCATTAATAACATGTTTTGTGGGTTTTAATCTTAGAATTTAAATTTTAAACCGAACCTATTCTTGACAAAAATCATAATATTTGAGTAATAATCAAAGCAAACTAACACTTAATTCTTGATCTATGCTTAGTTATGCACAGAACTTTATTTTTTATTCCTTGAGATCTGGTCTGGATTGATATTCATGTTGCTAGGTTTAAGTTTGAATGTTCTTGACATTTTTTATTTTGTTTGTGTTTGATAAATTTTTCTTATAAAATTTATGAGTTTTTATGTTTTTATTATGTTGAATCTGTTTTGATTTTGAGTTTTTGTTTGGTATGTTATCGGATCAACCTATTCATATCAACTATGTCAAGTCAACCCACTCAAGGCATCTTAATCGGGTTAGTCACAGATCTTGTTTGGTTTGTCATATATATATATATATATATATATATATATATATATATATATTTTGCTTATAGTGGTTTTTGTCCAATACCCCTTAAATTTGTTTTGATTAGTTTTATTTCAAGAATTTTTTTTTTGTCAAATATAACCTTGTAAAAAAATATAAAAAATAATAAATAAATATAAAAATACAAAAAATCATAATTGTAATATAATTTTTTTTCGGTTATATATATTTAAGTCTATCAAAAATATAAAAATTATAATTTGTTTTTTTATAAATAAAATACATGGTATGTCTTATATTTCTTAACATACATTTTGGATTTAACAGTCATTTTTATTAAATCCATGAGAATTTAACTAATATTTTAATAATTTATAAAAATTTAATTCCTAATAATTAAATGTAAATATTCAGTATAAATGCTGAACCTATAAATAAATTAGTATTTAAATATTAGAAATTGACTAAGAAATTTTTAAAATTATTTTAACTATTTATCAATTTTAATTAAAAGTACTTTTCATCACGACGCACAAGTTATATCAGGACTCCTATACAGATCTTTTTCATAAAAAATTATTTGAACACATAAACCCGTAATAAATTTAAAAAACCAAATTTATTTACACCAATAAATTTTCATTCTAAATCATAGATAAACTACTAATTAAAAACCCATAAAAACCTTTAAATCACATTCAAACAATATAATACAACTTATTATAAGTAAAATATACTAAAACTATTAATATTTTTTCTAGTCATAATCAGTTTGTTACCCCTAAAATCTTTAATAAAACTAATACATCCAAGTTTCTTAAGGCATCTCCCTCGTCCCCCAACACCACACGAACGAGTGCAACAAGGCTTATGGTTCCTGGTGGTGGGAAGTGGATAGAGGGAGGGAGCTACTTGTTTCTATTTGCTCTAATAGATGCATTTATCATCAGTCTGTCCTCTAACATTTGACAGTACATAATGGGAAGAAATGATCATTCACCAGAGAAAGCATGGCTAAAACTATCAATGCTTTGAAGACCATGTTATTAAATCTTGCAGATCCAAAAATAGAGGACAGGGCGAGCGGGGGGCGGCGGCTTACATGTCTCATGCCCTAACTATTTCAAGTAACCGAGGGAATGTCCTCGGAGAACATTTAGGCATCAATTGTTGCAACTTACACCAAGAAACCTCAATTTTGCAAGAATTTTGAAAGAGAAAATTGAAAATGGAAAGAGAGATCATGCCGAAGAGAAACAAACATCTCATCAACAAGTCTTCACCATATCCCAGAAATCTCTCTTCAATATCTCTTCACCATATCCCAGTTAATCTCTCTTCCTCCAGATTTATCAGAAGCATGCATATGTACGGTGACAAAAGCTAAATCATAATCTCTTCACTGCAGGTTCAGTGACCACCTAAAGAGTTGCATCTGTTGGATAGCAGCCAAGAACACGAAGAAATCTTGCAAATTCCTGGGTGAAGATAAATAAAATCGAAAATAAATTCAATTGCAGTTAACAAGTTCTGGCTTAAGGTTTAGAGTATGTGAAAGAAAAAACAAGCAATATATCAGATAGTACATTCGAAAGGCAGAATTATACAAAGTAGAAGCTTGAAGAAGAAACATATAGTCAGGGGTTCGCTTCTGAAATATAATGAGGATGATTTTTCTCAGAAGTGTCAGGAAATTTTAAGACGACTCGCTGACCTGCAAATGTGCCAAAGCGTGCTGGGCCCGAGGTTCTGCCATGGAAGCGTCAAAGTCAATGTAGAAAAGGTAATCGAAGTACCTGTAACCAGAAATACATCATCACTATTACACAGAATCCAGAATTCAAGAAATGGTATTTACATTTGAAACTACAGAAGACAGCATAAAACATTTAGCTGCAGAGGTCTTAGAAATGAGAAACTCGAGATTCACCAAAAATTCATTTTAGGTTCAGTTGAGTGAAGTCTATATTTTGCATGTCGACAATAATGCAAAACTTATGGTGCATAGGTAAATGGAGATGAACAGTATATTTCCAGCAATGAATTGAGCACGGAAATGTCTCAAAGTCTCAATGATAAGAAAACAGAAAAATATAGACACTTTCTGCAAAATGACAAGCTTTCTGAACAATGACAAAGCACAAGACTTCCATTCCGAATGTTTCATGAAATGGTTTATCTCATCTTCTTCATATCATAGAGACATAAAAGAATGCTTTGAGAAATTATCTCACTCAACTCTAACCATGGTTCTATTTGCTTGATAGAAGAACAGGGTTATCAGCAGCATTTTTTCACATAAAGCAAAAATCCTTTCCAGTCATCATCTTGATCATTACAGGTGCATTAAATATAGGAAAATGAATGTTAATATGTAACTATTGCATTTTACATCTCTCTCAGGTCTTTCAACAGGTATTCTTCATAATTTACATAGCTCCATTGACCCAAAGTATATACATTTTTTGCTTCCTGGTTTTGCAATTAACTACCTATTTCTCATTATCTTTTTCTAGTGTTGTTCTCCTTTTCAATTTTATTTGATTGTTTTTCCAAATCATTCATCTTAAAATGCATTGATTTTCATCAACAGAATCAACTGCCAGATATAAATAGTAGATTAGCTCCCATCAAACCTCACAACTTGCAAACCTTCATCAAAAAGGTTAGCACTAACCTGGCACTTCCCTTGTTAGAGTCATCAACAACCCTTAATGGACGCTTTCTTTGAGGGCGACTCTCCATCTGAAAGTTGGTCAAAAGGAAAAAGAAATTGGTTTTTTGGACACAATTAAGGGGGGAAAATATGTTAGCTATTAGAAAAATAACCTTTGTCAAGTTGATGTCCCTCAAAGCAAACACTGCTAGAGCTTTGAACAGCATGCCAGGACCTTCTTCGAGAGTGAAAACAATGCTTGTCTAAGATGGGGAAAATCAGGACTCGGTAACAAATGTTTATAACACATTTTTTGTTGATATGTTAAAAGAAAGTATACAAGACTGGGAGGTGAATAATAGTACCTTATGGGGCCTGTCACTTCCAGGAATCAAAGGTTCTCTTGCAAGTATCAAAAAGCGGGTAATATTATCATCATCATCCTAACATGTGTAAGTGACCAAAATCAGGCTAAATTAAGTTCAGTATGAAGAAAGTACTTGATTTTAAAATTCATGCAATAAACAGTCATCGGAAACTTAAAGGAGAAGCCTTACCTGGATTTTTTCCAGTAGAATGTTGAGACCATAGATGTCTGCTGCACGAGCGCTAGCAATTGCTCCTGTGTCTCTTTCCCCATTTGCCACAACCATCTGTCCTCGAATATTTTAACATTTGGTACACAGACAATCTATAGCATGATTCAAGCTTAGTCAAAACAAGATTTAAAGGATCTGAAAATTACCTGAGCAGCACCTGCAGTATCATCAGCACTAACTCTGATGATACCTAATTTGTTCAAAGTCATTTCACATTGAGCAAGTGCCTACAAGTTGGAATATCTTTTAATAGAGCATCATATGTACTTTTGAATTTAACCATCAAGTCCAAGCATCATTAGTCGGTCTCATATAAAGTTTAAAGATCAAATGCTCGAAATGTCAAGAATCAAAAGTTGAGAAAGTAATCAGATCACACTAAAATGACCCTACATTGGCTGGATTAGCACTAGTTAATAGGTGTTATACAAGGTTAGAAATATTTACGATAATGGAATGAGCTCCAAAGTTTTTAGTAATAAATGAAATTTCACAAGCACTTTGACCACAAATTGATGAGTGTTTATATCTCACAGCTGAATCTCATGGTATACATCAGTGGATGTTTTCTAAAACAAACCAAAATTAGTACATGCATTCATTGGAGGATGTCTCCTAATCTATCGATGATAAGTGTTTATATCTAACAGCTGAATCTCATGGTATACATCAGTAGATGTTTTCTAAAACAAACCAAAATTAGCACACAAGCATTCATTGGAGGGTGTCTCCTAATCTAAAACAAACTTCCAATAAATTCCTGCATGGAAAGTTTGGCTTTCCAAATCATTTAGTATCACTTTATCCAGCAAATCTTTAGTTATACTTGTAAAGGAAAACAATAATGGTAATGACACTAACAATATCAGCAAAATTAAAATTTTGTACGTAATCAGATGCACTTCTCAAGGCAAATCATGATATTGCTCTTCATTATATCAAACATTCTGGAGAAGCCTATCTCCATTTACTGTCTCATGCAAGCAAGAAAAAACACCATTTTCTGGGTATTTATTCCCTTGTCTAACATTCATATAAGATCTACTCGTAAAAACTATATGTGGACCTAATAAAAAGGTAACAGCGAGAGCAGAACTCTGAGTAAAACTAACCTGGGGGTGGCTCAAAACACGTTTCAATTCATCCTTCTGTACACCAGGCAATCCCAAAAGGCAATGGTTAACTATCATCTGCACCTCCCCTACTATATGCAGCCTATGACGAAGGAGTAAATCATAATTACGGTGGATGCTGCCACCCACTGAATTCTCGATGGGGAGGACTGCTTTATCCACTAACCAGAGTTCAACTGCCTGGTCAATTGAGCACAGGAAAATATTGGTGACAATCATTTGTAGCTTAGTTTAACAAAGAAAAGTGATGCATAAGAAATTTATGAACCTTGAAAGCAGCTTCAAACTGATCACATGGAACAGTTTCACACTTCGGATATGCTTTTAGCGCAGCAGCCTCACTGTATGCACCAGGTATCCCCTAAAAGTGGGCATCAAAGCGAACATAAGAATAGCACAGAAGACATGGATGTTTGGGAGAAGAATATCCAAGTGGTTACCTGATAAGCAACCCGTACTTGTGCACCATTTCCAGGAGAAGAAGAAAGATCTGTAGCGGACAACGGTTCTACAATACACAGCAAAAATGCAAAGTGGATCAAAGAACATTTTTTGGAGTTTTGGAAATTGACACCAGCTTCATAGATTTTCTTTGTCATTATTGCACAGGCACAATGCATTGTTATTGCTTTGACTAACTTAAGAGGCGACATGGTAATTATCCTTCACGTGGTTCGAAGCTTACAGGTATGAATAAGATCCATCACAAACCTCCAAAAGATCTAACATACCCATACTAGTGGACAAACTGATACAAATAATGGAAACCACTGATTTCAAATTAATGATTGAAAAGGAATTAAATTAATTACTACTATAAAGATCGATCCTTAGACCAATTATGCATGCAGAACACGAAAATTAACCCAAGAAATGCTCAACTACATGCACTCGAAGAGCATCTGTGACAGGGCTAGCACCCTATATATAATTTTTAAATTTTCAGCAAAATCTTCTTCCGCAAACCTAGAAATGCCTGAATGCATGCACGTTATGAGCATCCAACTTGATCACGTCTTATATGGCATTTCCAGATTCTGAATAAATCTTCTTCCATGGAAATACAAATTCTCAACAAATTCTTCTTGTAATATAAACCTAAAAATGCCTGAATGCATGCCCTCTATAAGCATCCAACACAATCAGCATCATATATTGCATTTCAAGATTCTGAATTAATCTTCTTCCAATAAATTTATCAAACATTCAAAATCATCCTAATAGCTTCAAATCATTAGTTATCTTCCAAATATAAATGGAAACACACAATTGATTCTATCAGCAAAATAAGATAAATTCATCCCATCATCCCAGCTATAACCACAATAACATTGGCTAAGAACCACAAAAACTATAGAACAGAACCGAAAATCAATCTGCATTGCCAACCAAGTGATTATGTTTTGGTTTTCAAGTCCAAACCAAATTGATTGTTCATCTACAGACGCATATAAATTAGTAATCCACCAGTGAATCAAGGTCCTGTTTTACACTAAAGCAGGCTGTTTTGCTATTCTACAGCTTACAAAGCTAGTAAATTTAATAATATTAATTCAATATATAACAATCCAAGAAGAATAAACAGCTTAACTTCAAAAACAGTGAATGAATATATAATAACTCACTAGGAAGAAGGTTCAAATCCTTGTGAAACCCTCTGGACTGAGTGTCCTGAACCTGATCAGTTGCCCCAGAGGTATCCACCGGTTTCTCATCTTCAACAGGAGTGATAGCTCTTTGAGCCAAAACACTTAAACAACAACATTCCCATTTAGGAAGTCTCTCAAGATCCCAATAGCACCTCAAATCCACACATCTCCTCAACCCCAAATCTGACTCGCCCACTTTAGAATGAGGCCTCAAAGGGCTAATCCAGATGGGAGAAGCAGCCCTTAAAGCCATTAAAGAGTAAAAAAGATTGCAGCTTTCACAATGTATATGCAAATGTAAACCAAAACCAAAACAAAACAACCTCACCAACAAGGTATTAAGAAAACATAAGAGAAGGGTTGTTGGTGATGGGGTTGTTGGAGGTGAGTTTTGGTGAAATCTCCTACAACATTTGTCAAGGAGACTCAAATAAATGGACCCCACTAACCCAAAAAAACCATACAAACAAAACCCACAATTCTATGGTCTCTCTGTAATGAAAATCAAGAAAAGAAGTGATCTTTTTCACTTTTTGTTATTTCACAAAAAGAATTTGACAACAAATAAAAAAAAGGGTCTTTACAAGGGATTGTTAGTGAGGTAGGTGAGCCAGAATTCTGGCTACACGTTTCCACAGATTCTGGAGAGAGAAAAAAATTACAAGGAATTACAAAAGAGAAAAGGCTTTACAAGAGAAAGAGGCACTAAAGAGACAGCATTGAATGAGAAATAAATGTGTTTACTTGCTTTCAATGTCTCCAGAATGCATTTACAAAAAAACTCTATCTCATACAGGTATATTACCGAAGAAGAGGGTGAGAGGTGGTTCTATTCTTGTGGTGGGGTAAACGTTATTTCTACCCTTGAAGATTTATCAATGTTTCACTTTAGTACCTATAGATTAAATATGACCAATATTGCCTTATGTTTCCCCCTTAACAATTCCTTTTATATATATATATATATATTTGGATTTTGAGTTTTCTCAGGCTGCTAAGTGTTTTTGTGAAATATTATAGGTTTATGGGGACTAGAGAGGAAAGAATGGGAGAAAAAGTAACAAAAACATGATGAAAAGAGAGATTTATTATAATAATTTCGTTGTAAAAAACACAGTTGAAGAATTTTGAAAACTATAGAGTTAAGATTGGGAAATTTTAAACTTATGGAGGATAGGGAAATGACATTGACAAAACCATAATGATAAATAGACTAGAATGCACCATTTTCCTTTTCTTTGATTCCTTCAATCATTTTAGAGTATTGCGAAGCATTTTAAACCATAGGAACTAGTTTTTCATCACTTGAAATCGAAGTTATTTAAGGCTAAGATCATAGGTTTAACATATTAAAAAAATAAAAACAACTTTGTTTTCTTTTCTTTTTTTAAATCCGGTAAAGTCATATCCATCCATGTTGCTATCAACATTTGTTAATGGCTATTTAATACTTGGAAAACAGAGTTGTTATAGCAAAGCCAAACCTAGCAATTTTAGTCAGGAATGTTTCCCTAATTTGAGAGTTTTCTGCCTTGCATGTTTTGATTGCTATATGTGAAGAACGATGTTGCATTTGGGGTATCTCAAATGTTTTAACGTATTGATATTAAAAATATAAAATAATTATTTAATATGTTTTGAATGAATTAAAAATACTTGGAAAAAAAAGAAAAACATGACAAAAGTAATGGCGCATGGTTACCTTGGATGATGAATTTTGGAAAGGAGTCACTGTTATCAAGCATTTTTCACTTTGGTAGGGCCAAAAAGCCTGCAATTTTACTTTCTGGCAACCAAAAATGGTTAGATTTGGCTTTGAGAAGCAGAATCTTCTTACCAGATAAGAGCAATCTCCATGTTAAGGCAAGAAAAGAAGGGAAGGACAGGGTAAACAATGACATGGAATTGCCCTATTGGTTTTGTGTAGATTCTTTACAGTACACTGAGCTGGCTATTTGTCCTCAGAAACCCCACTGCAGTCACTGGACTGCTCAGCTTATTTGGAAAGTTGGTGATAGATGAAAGCAACTCGTTACTATACTATAAAGTGCTGTTTTGCACTTTCGTGCTCACATTATGAAAACTTTTCTAAAACAATTTTTAGTTTTAAATTATTATTTTTATTATTATTTTATTACTTTTCTAAAATATTATTCATTTTAATAATATTTTTTCTCTAAATTTATATTTTTTTTTCTAATTTCATACTTTAACATTTAATTTATTAAAAATTAAATTTTATAATTTATTATATTTTAATTTATACATAGTTAGTTTGATCTCATGACTCGTATGATAGTTTGGCGGTTTAAATCATTTAACTCGAGTGTTTTTTGTGTCTTTTCAATTAACAAGTTTTTTTTGGTAATTCCATCCTTCAACATTCAATTAATTGGAAATTGTGTTTTATAATTTATTTTTATGAGGTTATCTCGATTTTATGACTTTGGTCACGTGTTTTAGTAGTTAACTCGGGTAGACTCAGATTGGTTTATTGTGTTATGTTTTTAGATTGATTTTTTTTTTCATAATCAACCGTTAACAATGAGTTTGCTAAAAATTAGGCTTCATAAGTTTTTCTTCTTCTTTTCATAGGAGTATCATAATTTCATGACCTTAATTACGGATTTAACAGATTAATCCGTATTGACTTGGATTCTTTTTTATTTTTACTTTTTATAAGGTTATCCCAATCTCATGACCCAGATCGCGAGTTTGATAGGTTAATGCAGGTTATTTTTTTTTATAATTTTTTAATCAATTTTTTCAATTTTATTCTTCAATAAAGGTTTAATTGAGAATTAAGTTTTATAATTTGTTTTGATGTATTTTATATAAGGCTATTATGGTCTCATAATTCATGTTGTGAATTTAACAAGTTAATCCGGATTGACTAAGATCCAATATGTTATCGTTTTAATATTATTTAAAAAAATATTATCTTGAATTTTTATGAATCAAGTTATATTTTTACTAGTTATTTGGAGTTACTTTTAAACTCATTAAGTCAATTAAGTCATATTAGATCAATCTTTATATGATCTAATTTTGTTATTAAAAAAATATTGGTAATACTTAAATATTTTTTTTGTACATTTCAAATTTTTTTGATCCGACTAATATCAAAACACAAATAAACAATATATAGTCAACTAATTATAACTCTTGGTGCGATGATTTTTGTAATCATTTCTTGCAATTCAGGAATGACCATGGAAAAACATAATATGTTAAGATTTCTACATAACTTACATAAGGGACTTTTAAAGTGTGTGAGAGTATTATAGTTTATAATTTTAGGTGCGTTTCACTTGAAAATTTATTAAATTTATATATTTTTTTATAATTTTAATGTTCTAACATAAAAAAAAAACTTAAAAGAATATTTTAATATATTTTAAAGTAAAAAATATTTTGAAAAGTTCTATCCATCATAATACTAAATACATTAATATGATATTTTCAATCAAGTCCTTTTATATATATATATATATATATATATATATATATATTCGGTTTTCTTGGAAAGGTTTAAGGATACACCTAAAAGCTTTTGTTCTTGTTTAAATAGAAAGTATGATCAGGGCAAAGGGTCAGCAGAAAAGGTTCATGCTGTGCACACAACCACGTGTGATGATGGGATTCTTTGATGAAATATCCTTCGTATTATTCAAAGGTATCAAATGATTTTTTAGGTTAAAGATAATGAGTTCTAGAATATATAAATGTTAACTTGCCCATTTGATATTCCATTAATTTTTGTTTATTAAAATATTTTTTATCTAACATTTTTTATGATTTTAATATATTAATATTAAAAATTAAAAAAATTATCTTAATATACTTTTAATTAAAAAATATTTTAAAAAAACACACCTGTCTTGGTGTTATAAAGAATGCTAAGAAAGTTGGTGGATATGCAACTTTCCCTAGGAAGTAATTTAGCTAAAGCCAATAATATTATATATAATGTCCGATGAGGACAAATCATAGCGAGTCAATTAGATTCCTTTGATTATATCGATCACTACATCCTTGTCTACTGATCATTTGCCAATCATCCCACAATATCATACAGCTGCTGCAATAATATATCGAGTGACCTTGGAGTCAGTGTCTCAGACACCATATTTTTCACCGCATGATGTTTCTTGATTTTACTGCAATTAAGTTGTCTACTAGTCTATATACAGGAGAATATCCGTGGGAGGATTATAATATATGTCCAAGAATTTTCTGTAAAGAAAACAAGGAGAGTCCCTGTCACAGCTTCCCTTCACAAACCACATATTTTCTCAGGTAGTTGAATCAAATCCTCATACTAAACCGCATGATGTTTCTTGATTTTACTGCAATTAAGTTGTCTACTAGTCTATTTACAGGAGAATATCCGTGGGAGGATTATAATATATGTCCAAGAATTTTCTGTAAAGAAAACAAGGAGAGTCCCTGTCACAGCTTCCCTTCACAAACCACATATTTCCTCAGGTAGTTGAATCAAATCCTCATACTAAACCGCATGATGTTTCTTGATTTTACTGCAATTAGGTTGTCTACTAGTCTATTTAAAGGAGAATATTTGTGGGAGGATTGTAATATATGGACAGGAATTTTCTGTAAAAAAAAAAAAAAACAAGGAGTGTCCCTGTCACAGCTTCCCTTCAAAAACCACATATTTCCTCAGGTAGTTGAATCAAATCCTCATACTAAACCGCGTGATGTTTCTTGATTTTACTGCAATTAAGTTGTCTACTAGTCTATTTACAGGAGAATATTTGTGGGAGGATTGTAATATATGCACAAGAATTCTCTGTAAAAAAAAAAACAAGGAGTGTCCCTGTCACAGCTTCCCTTCACAAACCACAAATTTCCTCAGGTAGTTGAATCAAATCTTCATACTAATTATTTTTATTTTGTAATTTTGGATGTTGCATCAAGTCCTCCACCTAACCTAATTTTATTTTCTTGAAGAGGTAGGTGTTGAAAAGTTTATGGGAAAAAGAAAAGGAAGTTGATTGATCTAGGAAGAGTGATGATAGGAGCTAGGGCGTAGAGTAGAAAATGATGATTGCAAGCATTATGTTATTCTTGAAAGATAAAGTTAATTACATCGCTCTTGTGAAGGGGGGCATTTGGAGCATCATTTTCTTCTTTTTCAACCTGTGGGCTTCAAGTTGAAGGGTTATCTTACACCTAATGCTCTCTTAGCCAATCCCTATCTTAGTAATTGTCTGGCTATTAATTATCACTGAATCATATGATCTCTCTTGTTAAATTTTATTGACTATTTGGTCATCAAGTGTATTTTATTTACTTTGACTTCAATACAAGATTGGAAGTACTACTATATCATAAAATCTGTCTGCTAAAGATTACCTTGAAGATTCAAAGAGGGAAAATAAAAGGACTTCACTTAGAAAATCGGACTCTAATATATATGTAATTTATTAGTAAATTACTATATATGAAACAGAAGCTATTATATATCATACATGTTGAATGATCTTTAGTTTTGTATGCCCTAGCTAGCTAAAATGCTCGTGATCATAAGTGAGAAAATCTTATTCCAACAGGAAAATATGCCACAGGAATTGGAGGGCGGCTTTTGCTAGTCTTGCTCTTCTTCACGGACTTGTCTTCGTTAACCTCGTCCTCTTTGTTCAGTCTTCTTTCTGAACTTCCCTCTCCTTCACATGCAATCCTGCTAGAATCCGAGAAGCAACTAAAGAAACCAGGCAACAAAGCCATCGATAAGAAGCTAGTTTTGGACATACAATTCCATTTGGACATACAATTCCATTTATATACAAGCTAGAATTCCTCACAAGCAAGCATCCAAATTTATGTGGCAGCTGCTGGAAATCTCTCGGAGAGATAATTCTAGACAAGATTGGCAACTACCTTGGACCCCATGTGTCAGATGACATGTTGGGTTAAGCTGCTATAAGGAAAGAAACACTTCACATTCTAGCCAAGGTCAATTCTAGTATGGTTGAAATTTCGTTGTCACATAATTTCCACAGCGATGAAGATGTTGTACGTCCATGGCAAGTGGACAATATCATCATTCATTGTCGCCGACTAAAAATTAAGCGGTATGGCACACTAGAAACTTCAAGGGGAAGCCTTAAAAAAGTCCCCAGTCCATAGTTTCCATCTCAATTAGATCCTTAACATCAATCATATTCTTTACTTAGTTTAAGTAAGCATAATAGTCAAGGATTTGATCGAAAATCATGTCCTTCAAGAAGTTAAATCATTTAAAAATAATTTGATTTCCCTTTAACTCATTAAAAACCTATGAATTTACTGAAATCTTTCATATCACATGATAAAACAGACTATATAAAGAAATTCAATTTATCCCTAATTTGGATGCCATGAGATGAGACTTTAAAGGTTTTATATAAGCAATGGGAGACGTTAGGATTCAAAATGACCTATGGGCCCCAAAAAAACGCAGGTGGGTTCTAAAACGATTACAAGGCCTGGCCTGAAGCCTAGAAAAAACAGACATCATCGGGCCTACAGGCTTATCTCTTTTGTCCCTCCATGGAGTTCAACCATTTGTACACAGAAATTGTTCACAAATAATTTCTTCCATTCCAAAAAGGGAAAGAAAAATGATAACAAACCCCCACTGTACTATTTTATTTTTTGGAATTTAACTAGATGCAATTGATTTTTAGTAAAATAAAAATAAAAATTGTCATAATTCTTGTTAAAGAACAGGTTTTTTCTTTCCACTAGCAGTTTTTTTTTCCTAAAATTATCGACTATAAATTATAGTTAATCATCAGGAAAAGTATTTAAAGTTTTTTTTTTTTTTTGTAGTGATAAAAATCCTCCACTCATGGACGACTATTGAGAAAAAAGAAAGTGAACATGTTATGCTAACACGGGCGTGGGCTCATTTTCTGTATGGTGATCACACATGATGGCAACCAGCTCGATCCTCCCTGATGGCAACATTGTCTTAGGTTGCGGGGAGGTTATACGTACACACCATGCTAATTGATTCAAAGTTCATCGTCAAAGCTGCAAGCCATCGAACATTGATACCATGACTTGAAAATGGAATCCGAAAAAAATACCAGCCAAATTTACTGGATGACTAGGCCTGACAAGAGCTAGGAGCCATGCAGTGGAAATTAAGCGGACGACGAAGGGTCCAAGAAGATAGAAGAAACTTGAAGGAAAAGAAAAGGGCTTAGAGCTGGCTTCGGTTCCCCTTACTGAGTGTATGGCTTGTAAGGAAGTGAAATGTGTTTAGATTAGGTCTCGGTTGCTGCAGACATGTTTCACTGTTGTTGGCTGCTTAAGGTCACGACAATGGAATTAATGGTTAGAGACTGTTCTTCTTAACCTAGCCCCACTAATAATTTCATGCCTAGTACAACTGCTTAGCATAGAAATATATTAAGCTCAGATTGTCAGTTTTTTGTGCATCTAAAGCTTTGTACCGTTGGCAACCAAAAGAAAAGAACATGGAAAGATTGTGTCCCACTTGAACTTGATTGGCAGTGAAAGGGAAGCATGATGATCATCTAGTTTCACATTTATCTTTTCCAGACTACCCATCAAATGAGGTCCATTGGAAGCATGGGTACAAGTGAAAAATGATTAGCTTAGTAGCATAATCCCAGTTACTTAAGAACAAAAAGTTGCGCTAAATTAATAGTACCAGTTTATAGACTGATTGAGGCAATACCCTGCTTTGACAGGAGAGCACACTGAAACAAATACTGCAGAGATTTTGGTTCTCACACTACATTGTTAGCCTTGCTGGTCCATTTAGTGGCTCGGTGATTCAGAGCTTGACATGGATCAGGTTTCATTTTGAGCCGAATTTTATATTCAGTCAGTCAAACTCTAATAGCATAGTATAATGATCTTTACTTGATTGACTTGATCAAAACTATAAATATTATTTTAAATAAAAATTGATTTAATAATCCGTAAATCCTGACAATCCAGTAACACATAAATCTCCGCAACCATAACTGTGGTTATAAACCTGGGATTGCCTATGCATGGGTACCGCATTGAGTTGCTGTAAAAAGAATAAAGAGATAGTTGTATCTCAGCAATAATAATGGCTCCTGCCATTTCTGAGC